AGCATCATGATAAATGGAGAAAAAGACTGAATTTTCAGAGATTTCATATTACTTGGTTCCATGATCAACACCAATGGAAGCAGCAGCCAAGAAATCAGACGACATATTGCATTGGGCAAATCTGCTGCAAAAGAACTCTTTAAAATTCTGAAAAGCAAAGCTTTCTCTTTGAAGACTAAGGTATGCCTAACCCAAGCCATGGTATTTTCAATCACTTCATATGCATGTGAGAGTTGGACAATGAGTAAGGAAGACAGAGAAGAGTTGATGTTTTTGAGTTGTGGCATTGGCAAAGAACGCTGAAAGTACCATGGACTGCCAGAAGAATGAACAGATCTGTCCTGGGAGAAGTGCAGCCAGAATGTTCTTTGACAGAAAGAATAGCCAGACTTTGTCTGACCTATTTTGGTCATGTTGTCAGAAGGGACAATTCTCTGAAGAAGGATATCAAGCTTGATAAAGTGGAAGGTCAACGAAAAAGGGGAAGGCCCTCAATGAGATGGATTGACATAGTGTGCACAACAATGGGCTCGGGTATAGCAAGAACTGTGGGGCTGACACAGGACCGAGCAGTGTTTCATTCTGTTCTACATAGGGTCACTGTGAGTCAGAGCCAACTCAATGGTACCTAACAACAACAACATGGCATAAAGAACCTGAAATTCATGTCATGTGGATCATTGGTCTATGTTCCCTTGTGGCAGGAGATGGCTTGTCTCTCTATTTCTATTAGATGGATAAACTTGTGTAATTTCAATGAATTAAAATTGATGGACTAAATTAGATGAATTAAATCAGATGGACTAAAATTAGATGGATTAAAAAAAAGTGAATTGGCAGAGATTTTGGAAGCCAGAAGACTTGAATATACAATTAATTTACACCCTGTCCAGTGATACCTTTAGACATGGTGTCTGATGTACCAACAGTTTGTTGTAGGTGTATAGTATGAAGGCATATTCCCTAAGGTTTTTGTCACATTGTCTCAGATAATTGTCCTGGGCTAGACGTGCGCTAGTTTACTTCAAGTTGCTAGAATTAGAGGTTGGTAAATGAATATAAAAAATTTTTAGAGGCTTTGGATTCTGTCTTACATACTTTGTATGATTCCAATGAACAATTAACTATAACATACCTTGGAGGCATATGCTTCATATAGCTGTTGTAATGTCCTTCCCAAAATACTTTTGGTGGTATTTATTAGTTGCTTACTCCTCCTCCAGCTTCTAGTTGTAGAATCTAGGTACAGGTACTCTAACCCAGTCTCTCCATTTTCTTTGTCTTGCCTTTTAGGTAACTTATAAAAAACAAACCTGACAAAAGAAATAATTATGAATTACTACTATGAATGCTTGCCTGGTGGCAGTCACACTGTTGTTGTTGTTGTTTGCCGTCGAGTCGGCCCCGACTCATAGCAACCCCTCCTTGGGTTTCCGAGGCAGTATCACTACGGAAGTAGGATTGCTCAACCTTCCTTCCGAGGAGTGGCTGGTGGGTTTGAACTGCCAGCCTTCTGGTTAGCAGTCAAGTGCCTTAGCCACTATGCTACCAGAGCTCCCATGCAGTCACACTAAGAACTTAAAACAAAACAAAACAAAACAAAAACTCACTGCCATTGAGTCAGATCTGACTCATAGCAACTCCTCCTTGGGTTTCCGAGGCAGTGTCACTATGGAAGTACATTTCCAATCTTCCTTCTGAGGAGTGGCTGGTGGGTCGCCAGCCTTCTGGTTAGCAGTCAAATGCCTTAGAAACTCTCAGTCTTTCTGGGAGGCTTCCAAATCTAAGGAAAGGGATTTGCTCAAGCTCTCTGCCTCTTTCTCTATCCTTCTCCTTGCTCCTCCCCAGAAAAGGAAATGTGAATCTGATTGGATAAATACATTTATTGTTCTGGTGGATGTATGGACATTCTCTGTAGTGGAAGTCCATATATATTGAGAGTTGCTTCTACAGTGCATATGGGGAGGAGATCCACGTTCAGGCAGGGACTAGAGGACTCTTGGATGTGTTTTTCTCTTCTGCAATAGTGCTTGCCATCCTCATATGCTTGCAACTGGTTAGGTGTGAGATTTCGGTTTGGGCTTCAGGGAAAGTGGTGACCTCCTTGGCCTTAGTCACAGTTCTTTAGCGCAGTTTATCAGAATGCTCTGCATTAAGGAATCAAGGTCAAGACAAGCTACTTAAGTGGGCACTTTGCTTTACTTTACTGTTGTTTTCTGTTCATAAATTTCTTTTGGGTATCTCATAAGAGGAGAGGTAGTTGGACCCTTGTAGCATTCAGGTATTACTGGACTGTCTAGTCTAGGATTTTTCAAGTGTCCCTATTGATATTTTGGGCCAGATAATTCCTTGTTGCTAAACATTCCTGAATCTATTTCTAGCTCACACCTCTATGCTGAGGTCCAGATGAACCTAGACACAAAGATGTCCCAGAGACCTCCAATGCCATAGTTTTGAAACAAAGTGTGTAATATTTTGCTCCAAATGTGTTCACCCTGCAAAATTAGGGAACACACCCATCCAGTCGCAGAGCCAGAAACCTGAAAGTCTTTCTTAACTTCTTCTCTCCAACACTCCTTTTCTCATTCATTACCAAGTCCTCTCAGAATGTTCCTTCCTCTCCATGTCTACTGCCAATTGTTTAACTCAGTTCCTCACTTCTTATCTCTAATGCTGCAAAATTACAGCTGGTTTCACTGACTTCGAATATCTAGCCTTTTGGGTGCTGTCAGTGAACTTTCTTAAATGCAAATCTGACCATATTACACCACTGCTTGACTTCCTTTAGAGGCCTCTTTTCAAGGTCACTTTCAAACCCTGAGGCTGAGCACACAAAATTCTTCATGACCTGGTCCTCATCTAACTTTCTGGTGTGGTATCCTGCCATTTCCCTACGTTTTTCTGAAGCTCTAGCAATATGGGAATACTTACAGCTCTCAAACTCTTCACATTGCTTCTTGCCCCTTTGTCTCCTCATTGACCTGCCCCTGTATCACCCTTCTGTTTCTAGCTAATTCGTAATTGTTTAAAATGTAAGCTCGAAATCCACTTCCTCTTGAGAAGCCTCTTTGGCTCTCTGCTCCCCAGTTCCCCATCTGTGCCCTTACAACATTAACTGTGAGCTCTGTGAAAAATGCAGGAACTATGTTTGTTCATATTTGTATATGTAAAACCCAGTGCAGGCCTGATATGAGCTCAGGAACTATTTGCTGAAAGAGTAAGTTAGTGAGTATATCTGTGTTTTTGCAAAGCTTGATGCCAACCATAATGGCAAACCTAAACACCCTGATTAAAGAGTGGAAAGAGATAAAAGCTTTAGGAGAATCCATGACTCTAATGTAACTCTGCATTTAGTCTCTAACATCATGCCAGAGGTCAGTGACCTACCACCCACTCCAATTCCTGCCTAAGCTGCCTTGACAAATCAAAGTTAACCAAGCAGTGCTGTGTATGAGCAGATCCTCTTTCTCCTCATAAGGAGAATTCCACTTAAAAAACAAACAAACAAAAAAAACTAATCTGCCTTATCTCCTTTGCCAGTTTCTAAAAGAATTTTGAGGGTTTCTGATGGTGCAGTAGTTGAGTGCTCAGCTGTGAACCAAAAGGTTGGTGGTTCAAACCCACCAGGCACTCTGTGGGAGAAAGATGTAGCAGCCTGCTTCTGTAAAGATTTACAGCCTTGGAAACCCTGTGGGATAGTTCTGCACTGTCCCATAGGGCTATTATGAGTTGGAATCAACTCAACTGCAGTGAATTTGTTTGTTTGTTTGTTTGGATTAAAAAAGGATATTGGAAGGATACTGTGAAGCAAACCCACAATATAATGAATGGAAATTGCTGACTGAGAGAAGTTGTCAGCTCTACTTCACTTCCGTGTCCACCAGCATTGCTCTCTTGAGAGCAGTGATTCAGGCCCATAAGAGACTGTTCTGCTCTTTCTCCTGGGAAACTCTCTTACTCAGAAGCCTAACTCTGTCTGGGCATATGGCCCATTTGTACACTTCAACTCCCCTTCTTTCTAAAGGGGAGAGAAGGGGTGGACGTTCTTAAAAACTACACAGTAAACCAGCCTGCCTTAAATACTCTGCTATTCTATCTCATACACCAATCTTTACATTTCATTTACCTACCAATCCACAGCTTCACCTTCTTCATTTCTGCATGATATTGTTGTTGCCTCCAGGACCCCAAGGAGTCCAAGGAAGAGCAAAGCTAGAGTTGTTCTTAGAAGTCTTGCTGTCATTTTCTGTTGACTTTATCCCATGTCACAGCAGTAGACTTTTCCCATAGACTGCAGTCTGAGCTGCAAGTCTCTCTCAGATTTTGCTGGCTCTGACGTCTGATTCCATTTGCCTATGCTGTTTGGGCATTTTCAAAATGGGATGAATCTCATGCAATTGTGTGATTCTGTCACAACATGCCAACGTGACTCAAAATGCCTTTGTACTGAATTGTTGATTGGTTTGCAAAGTCATCAAAAAGTTCTGGGTGGCAAAAAAGGGATATATAGTTAACTCTTTGGAGTGAACATTATGTAGTATAGTACACTGGTAAGTAGATGTTGAATTAAACAGATTTCATGGGATTTTTTTTCCTCCTGATTGTCTATGAGTGAGAAAAAAATGCATGTGGTTCATATATTAAACATAAATTATAAAATCTTATGTCTTAGTAATAATTAGAATATATTACTTGTAATATTGTACATCTTAAGAAAATAGTTGCTGAAAGATTCTTAAAAGGGCTACTCCAAAATTGGAGCAAATTCAGTTGCATTTTACCGAAGATGTTTACTTATCTTCTCCACCTCCCAGGTTTTAGCCACTCAACGTGGTACTTTGCTCTCAAGAGATCCTAGTGTCCCATTGGCTGTATTACAGTAAGGTAAACATATTGACCACCCACTCTAGGTTAAATAAAAAACATTACAAACATCTATCTATCCCAAACTATCCTTTCTCATACTTGAAACTGAATCTGAAGTTGAAAGCCAAAGGAAAATGGCTCATTACCATACTGACTATAAAAAGGTGAGCCAAATCTCTTTTTGGAGGAGGGAAGTAGATAGACATACAAAAAGAATTTTCTTAAATGCATGAGGCTGTTTATTTAAATCAATTACTAATGATGCTGTCACAATTCACAGCAGTTTTTTTTTCATGCTTAGAAATCATGGTGGCTCTGTTCTGACCCTCTGATCATGGATCCAGATCAGTCATTTAGAGGATCCAAACCAAACTGGACTCTTGCAGATTGGATGCCTTCTATTATCCAGCTGGAGTTATTCAGGATTCTTAGTGTTCTTGGGAAAGGGAGGGTTTCAGGGTGTATTTCTCCTAAGACAGAATTTTGCAAGGGATGCTCTGGACTACTTGTCCATATTTATTCATGGTGGCTGCAAAAAAGGCAGAATTGTGAGCCTCATCCCAAACCTGCTGAATTAGAATCCTTTGGTTGGGCTTAGACATCTATATTTTTAACAAGTTCATTGGTGATTCTGTGTACCCTAAGGCCAGGGCCCAGAATTTGGACTTCAAGCCCCCCGAACTAGGAGAAAATAAATTTCTGTTCTTTAAAACTACTCACTTCTGGTATTTCTGTTACAGCAGCACTAAGAAACTAAGATAATATTTGCTAAATCCACTTTATTTCAAGGTCTAGGAAAATTCTGTTAGGTGAGTTTCTTTCAGATGTCACTTTTAATAAACTTTCTTATCTCCTGCTGTTGCTGACCTAATCATGCTGATTGTCAGTCAACAACCTTCCTTATGAAATCACTAGGTGGCTAACACTATGCTAGACATTGAAGTGCTCCAGGGATTTCAACATTAACTGACAGCCTGGATTCCAACCTACCAGATACAGCAAAGTAATGTTGTGGAAAGAAACAGTGAATTTGGTAGATGAAGAAGAGGCATTGGATAGAATGTTTGTCACAATATTATCCATTTTGAAGCCTAATAGAATGAAAATACCACATCTTCTACACAACATGAATACGTCTAGAAATAGCAGCAAATGTCTTCATTGTAACTTAGCCAGCTAGAGTGAACAAGGCAGAGTTCTTCACTTGATAATTGGTTTCTTATTTTAGGACTGAAGTTTCAGATTCATTCATCCAGTAATTCTGGAAAATCTCAATTTTTGTCTCTTCAAATAGTGCCTCTTCCACATTCTCTCCTATCTTTTCAGTACTCTGTATGTGTCTTTCAGACGTTCTATCTTTATGTGGTTGATTTTCTAAAGAGTGCACCTTCCTGGTGTAATTATTCAACTCATAGACCTGTCTATTGTTTGGCTGAAACTTAAGCTATTGTCATGAGTCCAGTTCCTGGTCCAAAGGGTGAATAGGGGCTATAGTCTTAGGGCTTTCATCAGTTTCTACCAGACTACTAAGCCTGGTCTTTTTTATATTTTTGAGTTTTGTTCCACATTTTTCTCCCACTCTATCCAGGATCTCCAATTTTGATCCTTTTCCAAGTGGTTGGCAGTGATAGCCAGGCATCATCTAGTTCTTCTGGTTTTTGGGTTGTGTAGGCTGAGGTTCCCATGATCCACTAGTTCCTTGGACTAATTTATTCTATGGGTCTTTAATTTTCTTTACTCTTCTTTGCTCTGGATGAGGACAGACCAATAGTTGCATTTTAGAAGGCCACTCACAAGCTTTTAAAATCTCAGTTGCTACTCACAAAAGTAGGACTTAGAACAACGTTTTTGTGTACTATGTTGTGCCAATTGAACTTGAAGTCCCCTGTGACCATGGTCCCCAGCCTGAAGGCCCAGCAACTCAGTCCCTCAATGTGTTTGGTTGTAGCTAAGAAATTACCATAACTTTGCTCCCTGTCTGCTCTATTATATATATGGCCATTTTTATAGCACATACAAATACATATGTAGAAATATCATCTGCCAAACCTGCGTCCAGTCATGGGTATATTCCCATTTACTTACCCATAACTAATCATCTGGCCTGTCCACTTATGTACCCATCTGTAGATTGTTGTGAGTAGGTGCCGTTGAGTCAACTCCAACCCATAGCGACCCTGTGTACAACAGAACAAAACAGTACCTGGTCCTGTGCCAGCCTCACAATCCTTGCTATACCTCAGCCCATAATTTCCGGCACTGTGTCACTCTACCTCATTGAGGGCCTTCCCCTTTTTCACTGACCCTTCATTTCACCAAACATGATATCCTTCTCCAGGGAATGGTCCTTTCTGACAACATGACCAAAGTAGGTGAGATGAAGTCTCACCATTCTCACTTCCAAGGAGCATTCTGACTGCACTTCTTCCAGGGCAGATTTGTTAGTTCTTTTGGCAGTCCATGGAACTTTCAGTATTCTTTGTCAACAGGACAACTCAAAAGCATCAACCTTTCTTTGGTCTTCTGTTCTGGTTACCTAGTGCCACTCTGACAAGAATATACCACAAATGGGATGGCCTTAACAGACAGGAGTTTATTCTCTTACAGTTTGGAGGCTTTAACTCCAAGTTCAAAGTGCCAGGCTTTAGGGACTTGGTGAAAGCCCTTTGACCTTGGGCTTCAGCTCTGCCTCCTGCTCCTAGCCCACTGGAGCTAAAGGCTTTTCTTCACTCAGACAGCTGCTGGCTGCTGAGACTGACAAGCTGAAGGTTGACAAGTAAAAAGGCACAATCCCAATGTTACCAAACCACATGGCAGGCCATTAATTTAAGTCCATTGAAAGTCCCAAGGTCAGCAGAGCATGGCAGGTTGCTGAACAATGACACAGCTACACACACAGTTCAAGCATGCCATAAGCTAGAGACTATCCCCAAGGCTTCTCCTTATATACAGGAAGCAGATCACATCCCTAAGGCAGCTCCTCAGCTGCTCATGGTAGGTTCCATCATGGAGTTGATTACCAGTCTTATTATGGGGAATACTACATCCAGCTGCCTAGCCACTCAACCAAGCCCAGCCAAATTGACACACAAACTTAACTACCACATCTTCTTTTTACATTGTCCACCTTTCACATGCATATGAGGCAATTGAAAATACCATGGCTTGGGTTAGGTGCACCTTAGTCTTCGAAGATACATCTTTGCTTTTCAGCACTTGAAAGAGGTCTTTTGCAGAAGATTTACACAGTTCAATACATCGTCTGATTTCTTGACTGCTGGTTCCTTTGGTGGTGATTGTGGAACAAAGTAAAATGAAATCTTGGATAACTTCAATCTGTTCTCCATTTATCGTGATGCTGCTTATTTTTCTAGTTGTGAGGATTTTCATTTTCTTTATGTCGAGATGTAACCTGTAGTGCAGACTGTAGTCTTTAATCTTCATCAGTGCTTCAAGCCATCTTCACTTTTAGCAAGCAAAGTTGTGTCATCTGCATATCGCAGGTTATTAATAATGGTTGTTATTACTGATAATGCAATATTGTATATGTAAAACCTTTGTTATTGTACCTCTTGTGACCACTCTGTGTCTTCCTTTTCCTTAATGATGTTTCCTTAATTCCTTAATGATATCACCCATTTTGCCTTTCCCTTCACCCAAATCAATATGTGTATCCTACCTAGCTAGTGATTTTCCTCCCCTCCCTTCCCATCCCTGGTAACCAACAAAGAAATTTCCTTCCATGTGTAAACTTTTCCTTTACTTTTTACACTAATGGACTCGTACCATATTTGTCCTTCTTTGACTTTCACTCAGCATAATGTTCTCCAAGTTCATCCACATTATTTTTCACAGATTCTTCATTATTCTTTAATGTTGCATAGTATTCCATTATGTGTATTATTGTAGTTTGGTTATCCATTCATCGACTGATGAGCACTTAAGTTGTTTCCATCTCATTGCTGTTACAGATAGTGCTGTAATGAACATGGGCATGCATATATCTATTTGCGCCCTAGTTCTTACTTCTTTAGGATATATACCTAGTAGCAGGATTACTGGATCAAATGGTATTTCTACTTCCAATTTTTTAAGGAAATGCCATACCATTTTCCATAGTTGTACTGTTTTACAGTCCTGCCAGCAGTGTAATGTTCAATCTATTTCTTAATTCACTTATTAAGGCATTTCTCGGCATTCAATTAAAAAAAAAATTGTTGGTCTTTTTATAGTCTCTTGTTCATATGCTCAATCTCATTTACGTCTGTAAAAAAATTAAACATACTATTTTGTATTTTGTATATGATAATTCTAATTTTGTGAATTTAGGCTGTGAGTTCATGCTTCTTGATTCTTTATCCCATTATAAAGAATTTTGTTGTAATGTTACATCAGGGAGGCAGCCAAGTGTAATGAAAAGAATATAGGCTTTAGAATCAGCAGAACTGGGTTTCATGCTGGGCCCTGTTCCTAACTAGCCAAATAAATAAAAATATTTAACCTTATTGAGCTCCAGCTGCCTTTTCTAAAGGTAAGATTCATGATCTCTGCCTTCCGAGTGCTATCAGGATTCAGTGAGATATTGCATGCACAACCCCTGACATATAACTGGTGCTGATTAAGCACTAGTTCCTCCCACATTGTTTCTTTGTCTTCTGTGACAAAGTAATGTCTTTGCCCTGTGGATTAAAAGCAGTGCATTGGTGATATAGTTCTAATGGCCACAAAAAAAGCCTACATGTTTTCAATGGTCTTTATCCAGTCAGTGTTCAAGTTAAAAAATGTGCCCTGTTATTGAAGGCATGAAGCAAAACTTTCGTTTCATCTTGCCCTAAAGGGCAACCACTCTTTGATTCTCCCTTTGCTTCACAGCTTAAGCATCCTTGCCATCAATGCAGAATCCATACAATCGTAGAATCCCCTGTAATTTAAAAAAAAGAGGAAGAAGTGCTAGGAGAAAGGATGGAGTAGGCAAGGGGCATCTCAGTCTAGAATAAGTTCTTCCATGTTCCCTACCCTGAGGCTGTTGGTGCTGTAAAGAGTGTAAGCAAGAAAATGAGCATTTCCTTCAACATTTTAGTGATGGGTTTCTATACCTTTGTGATAACCAGAAGCATGAAAATGACTGAGCACCTGTGTAGAACGCCTTCATTAGGTCACATGT